GATTGGTTAGCTGGCAGGCACTGTTGTTATTGGTCAACCTCTTAGAGATGTCCCACCCCTTAGCCTATCACGTACAGTGTGTTAGAGCGCTAGCCAATAGAAGCGCCAGGGCAACATAGTGATGTTTCAAAAGTAAATGAAGGAGTCCAAAAGAGGCGAGAGAAATTCCCACACAGGGATTTACATGCACAAAAACCTTTACAACACTACAGGAAAGGGGGAACCCCCAAAAAGCACAAAGGGCCTCATCAATTCAGAAAAGTTCTGCAGAGCATTCATAAATCTAGATGTTATTTTCATAAACACCCAGTCTCACAATCATACAACATGAGATCACTATCAAACCAGCACTGAAACCTAATTGGTCGCCAAAAGCACTTCAGTTAGTTGAGAAAACAAAGTAGAGCGTAATCGATAAACTCTCTTCTCCAAGACCTTTCCAGACTTTATCCGTGAAACGATCAGAACTTCTTAACTTTTCACCTTAAGTCCAGAATCAGCCGACTGCAGAGGGAGAACTGTTGCTGCCATTTTCCCACAATGGAATCTTTTCCGCCAACCCAAAGCAATGTGATCCCCTTATCTATTTCTGCACTGCAGCCATCGGATTGCTCTCCATTGAAGTGCTATCGATCTGCGCTGTGTGCTGTACTGAAAAGAGGCGGGGGGGTAATCAATATTCCCGGCCTCCTTCCTTCCTCCGGCCTCAGCCACCTCACAGTCTTGAAAAGGGGATGAGACATCTTTTAATGATCTCCCTTGTTGGTTTGGGAAAGTACATTGTTACTTCTCAGCATAATACTGTATGAATGTTGAATACTAAAACATGGAATAGTGGGTTCTGTTGAGAATGACTCATGACATTTTATAATATGTTAAACTTAAACATCATTATATTGGTAAAAAAAATAGTTGTATCACACTGTGTAACTTTGTAAAAAGAAGTAATAACACAACATGCATCTCATGAGTTTTGCTCATGCTTGATATAATGCATTGCAGATGTTTTCCTTAAACTTTACTTACATTAAGTTATGGTAGCCAATGTGAAATCAATTGAGCAAAGTTAAGCATCCAGTAAAAATGCTATCGGCCAATTAAAAAGGGTTATCATCAGTGATTATCAGCCTCATAGATATGGGTCAGAAGGGGCCTGCTGCACCAACTGGCAGGTTTTTATCATCAATTCACAAAGTTGATCATCAGAAGAAGGAACACTAAAAGATCCAGACCTCTAGCAAAACAGTTTAATTATAACAGGAGTGAAGGGGGAAGTCAGGTGACCAAGTATAAAAAAAAAAAACTGAAAGGTATTAAAAACAGAATGTCGCTGTCTAACCCTAATCCCAACCAATATCTTTATTAGGAAGTAGTTTTGTTGCATAAACCTAAAGGAATGCATTTGTTGTTCAAAGTGTTAAGTTGAATTTAATTTCACCACACCTTGTTAAGTTTCACTTTCACAAAGCTTTGTAGTTTGGCCCATGTGATGCTGTGGAAAGGAAGCAATAACCACAGATAATGGCCATTTCAGCAGCTGAAAACATTCCGATTGGATGGATTTGCAGCGTGACACACATTGCAAGGTCAGCTTGAAGAAAACCTAGTTGACTGTGCCTGATACAGAGTGAGAGTGGTCTTGGTTGGCAGTGTGTAACAAATGAAAATAGACAAACCCATTCCTTACCTTCACACAGCGACTAATCTTAGCATGAAGAGCATCTGAATGTTGAATCGTAGGTTTTGTGAAGTTACTTTTTAGATTTGATGTTTCACATGTAAACTATCTATTAGGTCAAAAAAGCATTGTGTACTAGAATAAAAAAACGACATCACTTAAAAGGCACATTTTGTCCCCTTAGACTGTCCCAAAATGTCCACTGAAAATGTACACAGTGAAATAGATTTGATATAAGTGAAGTAATAAGTGGTCTGCACTTTTCTATTCTTTTACAACCCATGTCAGCATTCACACATATAGGCGCCACTCTTTAGAAGCGATAAACATTCACATGCTCTCACACAGTTGGCTATACCGTCAGGAACCATTAGGGGTTCAATATCTTGCCCAAGGACACTTCCACATATTGACCGCAGGGGTCGTGGATCAAACCATCGACCTTCAGGTGATTGACGAACCCTTTACATCCTGAGCTACAGCAGCCAGGATAAACTAGAGAAGACTCCTTACACGTTAGCATATGTTGGGTTTTAAGTATTGTTTGTTTATCTCTTAATGCAACAATCATTTAGCCAAACTCTACAGAAATAACAGCACCTGACCAGCAGGGATTCAGCATCATGCATCAATTCTGCAGGGAGGATGCTTCAGGTCATCTGACACGGAATCGAAGACACTGACAGAGTGTCCTGACCATAATGCCACCGTGCTAATCTGACATCGCAGGACAGTGCCTTCGAAATCCAATGTACCATTCAGAAATCAATACAGCTTCTCTAAGAGGAAGATGAATGCAGCCGAGCAAGATCCATGAAGTGTCAAAATAATTACCTGTCAAAACATAGCATTCACCCCTAAGGTAAAACAACAAAACAGATATATGGTATGTTACTGTCCTGTGTCAAAAGATCAGATGTTATTATCACATGTACCAGATGAATTAGCCTCGAAGGGATTAACCGCTGATGTGTTTTATTCAGCGGTAAACAACAGTTGTAAGCTTGAATGAAGGTGACTCACTTTGTGGAGGAGTGTTTATTTATAAAAGTAACTCAGAAGGACAGACTGGATACCAGATGGAGGAAAAATATTAATAATGTTCCTTTCCTTGTTCTGTTTCCTCTGAAGGTATTTGCTGTTTACACTTGTGTTGAGAAATGCTGTGTCACTTTCTGCTGACTCCTGCTGCTACTTAGCACTTCCCACCAGTGCAGTGATCAATCTGTGCCGTGGTCGTCCTTGTATGCGTGTATGCGTGTAGGTGTGTGTGTGTGTGTGTGTGTGTGTGTGTGTGTGTGTGTGTGTGTGTGTGTGTGTGTGTGTGTTCCTGTCATAAGGCCTTCTTTCAACCAGTCCTGGCTGGGCATCTCGTCCTGCTATCCATTAAGGAAAGGGGGGCAGTGGTGTGTGCGTGTGTGTGTGTAGGTGTGTGTAGGTGTGTGTAGGTGTGTGTGTGTGTGTGTGTGTGTGTGTGTGTGTGTGTGTGTGTGTGTGTGTGTGTGTGTGTGTGTGTGTGTGTGTGTGTGTGTGTGTGTGTGTGTGTGTGTGTGTGTAGGTGTGTGTGTGTGTGTGTGTGTGTGTGTGTGTGTGTGTGTGTGTGGCACACAGTTCAGATGCACATGTGATGCAATGCAGATTGATTAAATGTCCATTAAATTCAGCAATGTAAGAACTATTTATTTTTTAAATATTCAAATGTTTGCTCCATTAGGACTTGAATCTCAGGTCAGACGTTTTTTTATTCAGCAAATTCATTTTTAGTTAGAAACGTTATTATGAATGTAAGTGTAAAAACAAATGAATGAATTGAATAAAACAGGAAGAGACCAGAGAGAATATGCAAATAAGATGACTAAAAATAGTGCATAGGACAAAACAGATAATAACCAATGTCCTGGCACATTATTGGTTTTAGATTGATTATGATGATGTCAGTATATCCGCATAATGTTGGATTGTATGTTACTTTTTTTTTATCATACATTTGTCTGCCTTACAAATAGGTTGGCAGCTCCAGAAGGCAGCAACTACTCTTTGACAAATCTGGAGTTCAATATCCATAAATCATGTGACACAAGATCAGAAAACTGCAGAAAAAGCACACTCATCGTCAGCCTAGCTAGTCTGAGGATTTATACCAAAGAAGAATACTAAAAGAGAAAACACAGCTCTAAGCGGTTGGCCAATCACAACAGAGCCGGTCAGCTAACCAATCAGAGCAGACTGGGCTCGGGTGAAAAGAGGTGCTGCAGCACAGACAGTATGAGAAGAGTAAAGAGCTTTTTGAACATGAGAGCAAGTAAACATGTCACAGTAGAGGGACAAAACAAAAAGATTAATTATTAAAAAAAAGCATAAGGCCTTTTTAAAGTAAAGATATGTTTTCCCCATTTCTAAAATTAAGGGTTACCATGTAGATAATTATTTGTTGTGTCCTCATGATACTTTAACTTACATAAGAAACTAATACATTTTCAAAGTTCAGTCCAGTTTTAGAAGAACTGAAAAAAAGGCATTGAAGTGATTTTATTTAAAGTAAGACCTTTTTGAACATTAAAGAATGTAAACATGTCCCAGTAGAGACACTAAATACAAATATGAACCTGAGCATGTCCTTTTCCCCCTTGCCTTCATTAACATCTGTACCATTACACATCTATAGTATACAGAGATGGCAAAAGTACACACATCCTTTACTCAAGTAGAAGTACACATACTCGTGTTTAAAAATACTCTGGTAAAAGTAGAAGTACTGACTAAACTTCTTTACTCAAGTAAAAGTAAATAGGGCTTTGAAATGTACTTCAGTAAAAAGTACCCATAACTAGCAGCTGTTTTAAAGAGTACCTGACCTCCCTTTATATTAATAGAACAATAATGTCATTGTTAGCTAATGAATGTTTCCATGCTGAACAACGGCAACATGACAACGTTTCCATTGGTCCCTCTTCTTTAGAGAAGACCAGGAAATGATGGATACACGGATCGTGTTCAAATCAATAGGCACGCAATGACTCTAAATAATAATGATCACGCCACCAAACACACATTCAAACTAAAGGAACCAGCCTGTTTGGAAAATGTAAGAAGTAGAAAGTACAGGTATTTGTGTTCAAAATGTAAGAAGTCAAAGTAAAAAGTCGTCAGAAAAATAAGTAGTGGAGTAAAGTACTGATACCAGAGAAATGTACTTAAGTACAGTAACAAAGTATTTGTACTCCACTACTTCCCACCTCTGACAGTATATTGAATGTGTTTCTCAAATATAATTGTACTCATCACTGGTCCTGTTGCTGAGAGAGCATCACATCACACTGACCTCTGACCTCTGAGGAGAAGTGGGCGGAGTGACGGGTTATAAAGAGCTGCAGCTGCTGATCAAGGTCGCAGCTCTTCAGGTCCACGTCCCAGGATCGGATTCCTGTCAGGAGAGAGAGAGAGAGAGAGAGAGAGAGAGAGAGAGAGAGAGAGAGAGAGAGAGAGAGAGAGAGAGAGAGAGAGAGAGAGAGAGAGAGAGAGATATGCTTCAGGACAGGAACACCAGGCAGTGAAGGACAAAGATTAACGAGGAAACACATTAACATGCATAACCTTTCCCCAGATGTTGCTGCAGCATCAGGCCTCCCTCTCACCTTCACAAGTCAACATTAAGTCATTATATAAGATAGTATTTATGTAATAATATAACTGAAGTAAGCTGATAATTATCTGTGGGTTTGTCATTTCAATCTTTAACCTTTACATTACACATAGGGACGGAGTGGCGCAGTGGGCTGTGCGTTGTTCATCAGATCAAGGGTGGCGTTGGGGAACTCCAGTTCGAAACCTGCCCCCGCCGCCACTGCGTCAGGCCGTTGTGTCCTTGGGCAAGACACTTCAGCCGAATTTGCTCCTGTGGGTACTGTCCACAGTACATGACCGTTACATGTATGATATGTGTGTAATGTGTACTTGTAAAACGCCTTGATGACTTCGAGGTGTGAAGATGGGCGGAGTGGCGCAGTGGGCTGTGCGTTGATCATCAGATCAAGGGGGCGTTGGACAAGACACCTGAATTTGCTTCTGTGGGTATTGTCCACAGTACATGACCGTTACATGTGTGTAATGTGTATTTGTAAAGCGCTTTGAGCATCTGGAAAAGCGCTATAATAAATGTAAGGAATTATTATTATAGCCATGTCCGAATACTGAAACAGATTTGAATATAAGTTTGAATTGTTTGATGAATATCCTTAGAGTTTAATCAGAGATCTTGGAAGATATTTTCCATCGTTACTAGTAAGACTTTGTAAACTGCAGGGCTGATGCCTTGATATAAAACAGAAGGAAGTGACATATTTGAACAGATGAAACAATATTTAAATTATGAGGTTTTGAAAAGAAGTGAAGAAGTGTCATCATCAGAAAATGTGTTGTACCTTATCATGTAATAATATGTAGGTAAGTGTATAAGCACCCCCATAAACTTGACAAAAAGAGTTCAATAGATCAGTAATGATTTAGTCGGTAAATAACAAATCAGCATCTAAAGCATAAACAAACACACACACACCACACACACACACACACACACACACACACACACACACACACACACACACACACACACACACACACACACACACACACACACACACACACACACACACACACACACACACACACACACACACACACACACACACACACACACACACACACACACACACACACACACACACACACACACACACACAGCCGCAGTGAATCAAACTTCAGATATAACTCGTGTCAGATCTCGTTCAGCTAGATAGAAAAATCCAAGCACACACACACACCTCGTGGATTCCTTCACCGAGAGCAAGACAGAAGATTACTCTCATTTTTCAAAATCCAAACCCCTGTGCTTGACTCTTGTCTTTCACACAAAAAAGCCTAAGAAGAAGACCTTCTCTTGCCCTCAAGCGAGGAGAAAACGTTCCTCTCTGCAGCCTGCAGTCTGCTCCCAGAATGCTGAGTCACTGTTAATAACGTTCACTCTCATTGCACTACCAGAGGCATACAAATGACAACCTCCTCTCTTAAGGTTAATGCCCTTTCATCCTAATCCTCGAAATAAAAATATTGTTATTGTTCACAGAAGACAGGTGAGAGGAGTGTGTGCGATGTGTGTGTATCTAAATCTCTTGGAGGATGACATCAGCATTAAACTAGGCTCAGACAGCCTGTTTACGGACATGAGGAGAGCCATCAGATGCAAGTGATCGGTTTGAATTGATTTTAGTTATTACTAAAGCAACCCGGTTTGTGTCGAGAATATTAACTGACAGTTATATGGATAATCAGTACATCATTTCTGTATGATGTCCTTTTGTTGTTCTGTTGTTTATGTTTTTATGTCTTCATGTGGAACCTACTGCTGCAGGTCTCCCTTGAAAAAGAGATCAATGATCTCAATGGGATTTCACCTGGATAAATAAAGGTTTTGAATTGAATTGAATTGAATCATTTCTGTCATTTTTCAAGGAGGAAAATGCAGCACTTTTTGGTTCCAGTTTCTCAAATGTGAGGGTTTACTGCTATTGTCAATTTGATATCTTCTTTGGGTCTCTTTCCTCTCTTTTCTGACAATAGAGAGATTAAATCATGACCCTTAGATGTGACAATTGATGTACTTATAAGAATTACTAATGATATCTGTTAATGATAATAATTGTTCATTAGTTTTATCTTGCTGTCTTTTATCACTTTGTCTGATTTGGAGATAGTTATACATGTATTTTAGTCTTAGCTGTATCTAATGATGTTATGCATGCCCTGTAACCATTGCAAAGCAAAAGGGAGGGACTAAATGATCAGTATATAATAAGTGACAGCCCTCTGCGAGTTAAAATAAGCCAGAGATCTCATTCTCCTACAATGATAGACCTTATTTGACTAATATACAAGTTGACAAGTAATGAAACCTTTCTAGTTGTCAGTATGTTCTGCTCTCAAAGTCACAGAGTCACCCAGAGCTGCAGCACGATGATGGCCCTCTTTAGATTTCTATATCAAATCATTAACTTACGTTTCATCCTTTAAGCATTGTTATTAAAAACCATAACATACTTTTCAATAAACCATTAATGCCAGCTTTGTGTGGCGAGTACAATTATGTTTTGAATGTGACCAACAGGGGGGATCACATACAGCTGCAGTGACGTTTCTGCTCTAAAGCTTCAGGGGGCAGTAAGGAGGCAAACACAGCTGTGGAGACCAGAGGAGGCAAAGGAGATGCTGCACTCAAACACCTGCTTTTTCAGACAAGCATATCAGAAAAGGTCAAATCTTTGTTTTATCAGTGAAGGAGCCACTCAGGTGTACTGAAATATTTAACCGTGTTGGAGCCTTTTGGCAAGAAATGGACTCATTAAAGATTCATTTAACCAAATGAAGACCCTAACCAGAGTATGGTACAGAGTAGTTATGCTTAGTATGGCATTAGTATGGCATGTATGCTTAGCTTAGTATGCTTAGTATGATTTAGGACCCTTTTTCTGTGCTTTTTCTTGTAGTTTTCCCAGTTTTGTGTGTGTTTTGCATGATTTGTGTGTGTTTTGCATGCCATACTAAAAGCATAAATGCCATCTAAAAAACAGACAATATATTTTTTTAAATCAAACACTTATCTGGTGCAGTCTTAAGAGGTTTTGGTTGTGTCCTTTTTGAAAGAGATGTTAAGGTCAGTTTGATTTTTATGTCAGTCATTTTACCAAGATACGACATATAATATATTAATCACAAGGCTGAATGACATAGCAGTGAGTTATGGCTTCAGACCTGCTGAACCTTAAGGGCGTTCAGTCTGAAAGTGTTGCCCCGCACCTCCAGGAAAAAACACTGAATCTCAAGCTCTGGACGTGTTAGTGATGTTTTATTACCCTCCTTTCTCAGGAACACTCGTTCACCTTTCCAGGAATACTTAAGTGTACTAGGGATTTGGTGCAGGGACACTAAAGAGAGAACAAACAGCGATGGACAAATACACGCTGTAGGCAGGAACATGACCTCGACATCAGAGCAAAGAAGATTAAATGTATCACTCAGATACACAACAAATATTATATCATAAGTTAAGCAACATCTCACAATCTGAGGTGTTTGTACTTTTACTATTAGGATTATTGCCAAATATAGAAAGGAGAAAAAAGGTTAAGATTTAAATGAACATACTGTTTCATTTAGATTTTTAACCTTGGCCTGTATTATACTTTATTAGAAACATTTTAAGTATAAAAGTTATCTTTCCAGCAACCACTGAATTTACCTTAAATTTCCCTTGAGGATTTGCAATGTTAGTAAGCAGACCAAACTTATTACATGTGTCACCTGGCCTTTAAGAACATTTTGGAATCCGTCTGTTTTTTACACTTTTCTAGATCAGACAATTCTTAATTATTTAGAATAATAATAAGCAGTTGATCAACATATAACACCTACAAAAATGTTAGTTGCAGTACCCGATTGGAGAAAATAAGCAATTTAAATGAAAACAAAATTGTGATTTGCAGATTAAAATTACATTTCATATTTTTGATTTTGGGGATTTGGAGACGTTATTCTTAATTTAGATTACACAACAATCAAGCCAAAACATTATCACTTTAATGCCACATTAATCAATAATAAAACAATATATAATTTGCAACAATAGTCAGATTATGAGGAAATCAAATGTGTCTAGATACAATTAATGTAACGTTTTATGTCATGTTTGAGGACAACCCTAGTAGGTAGGCGTGTCTCCGGCCTTCAGACGGATCCTGCAGATGTGAAGACAGTCAGGTCCTTCACACTGAGTCACACTGAAAACACTGAAAGCAGCAGCCTGGCGAAACGATCGATGCTGTAATGAGCGTGATATGGAGCTGGCCACAGAGCAGCAGAGCAGTAAAACCTCCGTTAGAGAGGGTCCGAGGGGATGGATGGGGTTGCTATGGCGCCAGACTGGCATCTAAATCATTTGGACAGAGAACAGCTTCAGACCGGCAACAGAAACCTGCCGAGCGGCCCCCGACTCATCGACACAGCAACATGTTTCACCTGCTGCTCAACATCCCATTACTCGAGAGAGACCTCACTGACACCAGGAAGCTGCTGCTGCTGCTGGGAGGAGGGTTCAACCTGGGGTGGGAAGTAACTAAGTACTGCTACACAAGTACATTCTTGAGGTTCTTGTTCTTTACATGTACTTAAGTATTTCCACTGTATGCTTTTTTGTACTGCTACTCCACTACAATTCAGAGGTAAATGGTGCAGTTTTACTCCACTACATTTATGTAAATACCTTACTTTGCATATACAGGTTAATGAACAAAATATGATCAACAATTAAATAAGACTTTTACTTTACAGAAATGTCATATGCTAACCTGCAGTATACAGTTAGTCATGAACTCAGCTGCACCTTTACCAGCTTTGATAACACTTTAACGCATCAATAATAAAAAATAAAAACCTATAATATATATTATTCTGAAATGGACCAATCTGCAGAATGAGTACTTTTACTTCAGTACTTTAAGTATATTTTGATGCCAATACTTTTACTTGAGTAACATTTTGATTGCAGAACCTTTCATGGTAATTCCTACACTCTTGTATTTCTACTTTTACTTAAGGACAAGAACTGAGTACTTCTTCCACCTCTGGTTTTAACCCTGGAATGTGTGTATGAAAATGAACATGCTTATTTTTTAAGGACAAAAACTGATGATGAATTGACTGCTTTCTGTCTGGGTTGGCCAAATAACACCGGAGACATCCAACATCTTTGTTAATGATGTTTCGAAGTATTTTGTTATCTATTTTTTTTAATAAAGAGAAACTCAAAATGTATACAGATATTGCAAAAAAACTAATAATAAAATCACTGTTATTGAATCTTTCCACATTTTCTCATTTAATATCTTTTTTTTTGTTGCACCAAATTATGAAGAGCAGTGCAACTGTACATGTGTTTGCACAGTTGGTAGTTGATTTGGTTACAAAAACTTTTAAAAGGATTTAAAGATGTCTCTTTCCCAATGTAAGTCAATGGGGAACAAGTCTTTTTGGGTCCAATGGCATCATGTGACTGACACAGGAGTTGTAGTAGCACCAACTAAGAAACGGCGCCCTTCCTGGAGGCTTGTTTCAAAGCTTTAAGTTTGATAGTCCCCATCTTGGTTTTTGCAGACAGAAGTTTAGGTGGTGGAGCTAAGTATGAATCACTCAGGGCGGACTGACATATTGCAATTAACTTTAACTCACTGACAGCACAGTGTGAAACGGTTAAAGTTACCAAACTAAAACATGGATATCTCACAAAGAGAACAACATTGTTGTAGCAGTCATGTCATCAGAAGGTAACCCAGCCCAGAAGCATTCATTGATTTATCCTCTATTTTATTCTAAATGGGGCAATAATTAACTAAATGAACATCATGGTGGATTGAAAAAAACTTGAAACTAAAGGTTGAGACCATAAACTCATTAGGAAAATGTAAACTAGGGTAATGAATCAAGTGAGAAGTAGGTTTCTTTTTTTCATAGACTTCCATACAACATGACTTTGTCAGTGGAGACGCCCCAGAAATTCACACACACACACACACACACACACACACACACACACACACACACACACACACACACACACACACACACACACACACACACACACACACACACACACACACACACACACACACACACACACACACACACACACACACACACACACACACACACACACACACACACACACACACACACACACACACACACACACACTCAAAGCAAACTGCTGCAACACAGATGTTGATATTCACAGTTGTTGTGCGTGTTGAAAATAATTGTACTGAACTTATCCAGCCATGATTGGTCATGGATGTTAATATGTGGATTGTTATTATAGTTAATAATCAAAAAGAGTAGACTGCTTGCCTTATTCCTACTCTATTAAAGTAACCTCTTTGCTGCATCCACAACTTGAGTCTGCAATAATTTCACAGTAATAGAGTTCACAGGCTGTGTTGGATAATGCGTGGTGTCCCATGGTGCAATGCTGCAGCAACTGCCACTACCTATGCATACTACCCTCCTGTCCATTGCGTCAAAACACTTCCCTCCCATGCTGATGTTTCTCATGACTTTCTGTCCCACACACACACAGATAACCTCCGCAGACACACACCGGGACTTCCCCAGGCACTCACCCCGCTCTATGTGCGCTCTGACGGCGTCCAGCTGCTGCTCGGTGCCGATCTCCCCGACCACTATCAGCATGTAGTGTCCGCTCCGGTTGAACGGGACCCCGCGTCTGCGTCTACCTCTTCCTCCCCGCCGGTACCGGAGTCGCTCCTCGGACCCGGGAGGCGCGCGGTAACCCTCGTCCTCTTCCACCACCGGGAGCGCACCTCGCACCACCGGCATCTCCATGGCAACAACTGCTGCAACAACGGACGCCGAGGCTGACTCCATCGCCATGACAACTAAGGTGTGAGAGAGGGGAAGAGTCCAGTGGGGTGGGGGGGTGAGGAGGAGGAGAGGTGAGGGAGGGGGGGCAATAAGGGGATAACTTATCAAATATCCCAGAGGGGTACAAAAAAGTTTGTTTCCGGTGGTGCTTTCAAAATAAGAGTTGTTTGGTGCATGTGTAGGGTTCAACACTTTCATTATTTACCTGCAGATTGGTCGTAGTATTTATGCACTTTTTGAAGTGAAACTCTTGCAAATAAGATAAAACAGTCATATCACAGGTAATAGATATATTAAAATATATTTAGAAAGAACTCAAAAAGCACAAAAGTTTTTCAATACTTTAAAACAAGATAAGATAAGAGACTGTATTGCCACAGCCACTTTCAGCATGTATTGATTTAAACGCCAATGGTTGCACTGGAGATAACTGTCCTCCTACAGCCAACATAGGGTGAGTGAAAATGCAGCTTGCTCCTAAATGAATGACTATCATGAAAAAACTTCAAATTTTTGGTAAAAGATAAATAAAGTTGATGTGTGCAAAAAAAAAAAACCAACAGCGTCTGTACCACAGGTGAGATCTACAACTGTAAACTCTGGGGCACCTGGCATTACAGGTAGTTATATACACAGGCCTACCATGATAATAACCGTGGTTTTAGACATAGAATCGCATATTAAACATACCTGAAATAGCCATTTCGACTCCATATCTGACAGTCAAACCAAGTTTTGTAGTTTTAACGACAACAAACACTTCTGTAGGACAGCTTTACAGTTGTGAGTTTCGCGGGAGATTTAAAGGTTGCCCTGAAATGACAATTGTGGCCGCGTTGACATTTTCCTTAAAGGGAAAGTGACAGGGAAGGGAGGAAGTGACGTCACCAGCCAGGTAGAAGTGCCTGGGAGGTTTTAGGCAGGTATAAGAAGTTAAATATGGGAATAATCCTGAGGCCTGTTATGTTTGTTGTAAATTATGTGCTCCAAGTCTCAAGTGGGGAACACTGGGGTTTTTTGGTTTCTTTGAAGGGGCACAAAAACAAAAATGTGACTTAAAAAAGGTTTTGCCTTCTTGACCTGCATCTACAATGTTCAAACATCTAAAATTCATTAATGTTTTGAAGAGGATAGACATTCAGTGTTATAGTGTAAGAAGGAAGAAATGGGGAGTGGACAATTAGAGGTATTGGAAATGGCTTAGTAGTACATTTTCATAAAACAATTTTGAAGGTTATGATAAGTGATGGTAGCTGCATACTTTTAATCACACAGTTTATTCAAATGTGAGCAGGGTTGGTTGTCACATTAACCCAAATGTTATTTCATATTTTGTTTGGGCATCTTGAGAGATTAAAACACTTGACTAGTAGCCATCCAATAATGACAATAACATCCCCTGTGGAACTACAGCGTGCATTGTAATGTCATCATTCACAACGTTGAAGATTTTTGATATTTTATACTTAATATTCAAATTGAAAAACATTAGATAGATAATTTGAGTCTTTATCTCTCAAGTTGCGTCTCAAGTCATTTATTTCTATCAAGTTGCAAGTCATCATAACAGTGACATAAGTCCACATCTCTTTTTCCAGGATACATATTTCTCTTGCAAAAGAGCCTTAAAATGTACGCTTGACGTGTGGACAAAAAAACTTAAACCAACCTAGACAGTGTCATGATAATGTTTAGGAATTTCACAAAACCTGAATCAGAGAGCGTCATGCAACAATAAACCGTGACAGTGAAGTCTAGCAGTATTCATATGAACGGGATTAGACTTCTCTGAACGTCAATCATTCCCTCTTAGTCTCCATTTAGGATTCAGATGCATAAATGCAGTCAGTCTTGAGCGGTGAATGTGGAAGACTTATTAAAATGGTCTGCAGAAAATTAACCAACATGTTTTTTATGCACAGTCACACATCAGCTCACACTGATAAAGACAGAGAGAGAGAATGAAGAGAGGTCTTAAAATAGCCTCTTTCTTCTCAGAGAAATGTTCCTCTTTCAGCTGTTCAACCTTGAGCTTGGCACATCTCAGTGTGTAGCAGAGGGCGGTCCAGAGAAAACTGCCAGCATCACACTGAGGGGATAATAAGGAGGTCCACAGTAATAGGTGTGGACTCCACACCTATTACTGTCGGGACTACAAGTAAGCTTTAACCCTCCTTTCACTGTAATTATCATCTATTTAACACTCGATATGCAAATACAAATGTTTTTCAGATGTGTCCCAGTTACAGTTTGCCTTGATGCAGATTGCAAATATGTTCCTGTCATTGAAGAGGCCCTATTATGTTTTTGGGGTTTTTTTCTTTCCTATAGTGTGTTATATATGATTTTGTGCATGTACATGGTCTGCAGAGACTAGAATCCATGTGTTCCCTCCAGAGGGACTGTCTCTCTCCAACACACTCTTATGCCTGAAACGCCTCCATTGGACTCCTTTGTTTTATTTTCGTAAAATAATGACATCGCTATTACATCACATGTTACTTGTTAGACGCTTTTATCCAAAGCGACTTACATACTCAATACTGTGGACAATCCCGACAGGAGCAGTTTGGGGTGAAGTGTCTTGCCCAGGGACACAACGACATGCTGACTGCAGTGGGGTTTGAACCTGTGCCCCCCTGGTCCAAACACCTACGGACAACCCACTGCACCACACGCCGCCGCCGCTATGTAACACTTGCTCTTCTATTGGCTAATGCTCCAACACATTGCACACGGGACATCTCTAAGCAGTTGACCAATCACAACAGAGCCGGCCAGCTAACCAATCAGAGCAGACTGGGCTCTGGTTTCAGACAGAGGGTGAAAAGAGGTGCTGCAGCACAGGCAGTATGAGAAAAATAAAGAGCTTTGTGAACATTAGAGCATGGAGACATGTGACAGTAGAGACACTACATACAAATATGGACCTGAAAAGGAGCGGGGCCCCTTTCTTATTGGAGTTCTTATCTGCTGTTTTTTTCATTAGTATTTCAGATACAAAACTTCAAAATATCATCATATCTTGTAAAAAAACACAATTTATCTCCCTGGGTTCAAATTAAGACAAAGTTAAATGTTCCTATGAATAAACAAGAGTCTAAATGACCCGATGAATTTGGTAATCTGTCACCTGCTCCAATCAGGCGTGTTGTAACAGACACTTAAAGAAGTCATACATAATGTAACATCCTACAGTAGCAGAGTGAAGATGCCTCTTGTGGCTTGTTTTTAGCTGCAGATCTTTCTGACAGTGAGTCAGCATTTCACTTTACACAGACCTTCAGCACAGACATGCTTCCCTCTAGTGGTAAAAAGAATCCTCCAAACTCACTACAAATTGGTGGATGATGTAACCTTAAATATGAATGCATAACAACGTCTCCACAGGTTATGGCTTCAGACCAGCCAGAAAGGTTGGGGTTCTTGACAAAGCAAATGTTTAATCATAGACGTTACATTAGTATAAAGTAATACATGTTCATAGCAGACAATTCTGCACAATAAAACATTTAATTAAAGTGGACCTATCATGCTATATTTGAATAATATAGTGTAGGACCATACCTATATATATATAAGGCATATTTATACTTTTTTTTTTTCAAAATACCAAACAGATCATGCATTTTAGCCATGCCTCATTTCGCTCAATTTGACCATTTCTAGCTCTGTTTCTGCAAGGGCAGATTCTGTGAGAACAGCACCACCTACAGGCCTGGCATATGTACTACAGCGTCTCCAGCGCTTTCGAACGGCAATGGCCATGGCTGTCTCCTCCTGATTGGTGGAGTTGGCCCAATAGCCGTAGCGCCACCGTCCTGACGTCAGGACAGTGTTCAAATCTGGATCAGTTTTTATCAGATCCGTTGCAGCCCCTTTTTTTTAGAGATTTGGGTATGGAGGAAAATAGAGAGGGTTGTGTTTTCTGACACTTGGTGAGTTCCCTGGAACACCGGGGACACATATTCATGTATAAAAGACGTACAAAAGTGCATTTTGCATGATAGGTCCCCTTTAAGTTAAGACAAATGTGACATCAATAAGTATGCATTATCCCTGAGGATGTCCCTAGTATTTAACTTCTAAACTCAAACCCTCCAGTCACACATTGGTTTTGTGCCTTTTCTTTCAAACTATTTGCAGATTAAATCATTTTGATCCCCTAACTACCTTGTTAAGATTTAGCAACTGTAAATGTGCCTCTACTTTGCCATCTGCTGGACAAGCGATGTTAAAACACACACTGAACAAACTGAAGGGTTCACTTTAATTAAAAGTATTATGTCAACAAATATCACATAACTGTATTAGGTTAGTTGAAACCGATACTCTTAAATTGATCCTAATATTTTTTATTTAAATCTAATATAATTGCTTTCAACCAACCTTACACATTTATGTGAAATCTGTTTACATAATATATTTAATTCAAGTAAACATTTCAGTTTTATCCCCGTGCGTCTTGGGTTAAATTACAAACCCTCCATCCAAACAGACAAGTCCCTGCGCTTCTCCTGTTTTTTTTAGTTTGTATTATTTGATCAAGTCTATACTCATTAAAACTCAAAAAGCTGTACAAACCGAATATGTGCATTTGAATCAAACGTTGTACATTTAAGTATGAATATGTCAAGTCTTCATAACAAAACAGTCACCAAAAAAATCAAAGGAGAAAGTGTAAGAATTAAAAGGGCAAAACTGTATCTTATTGTGTTTTGGTGCTTTTAAGACTTCTTAACACGTGGCTTGTGTGGTCCTTATCATTGTACGATTCCTATGATGATGTGTTATTGTTTTGTCAAGCACTTTGTGACTTTGTCTGTGAAAAGCGCTTTATAAATACATTTTACTTACTTACTTATAAACGCCTTTATCACAACAGAGCCAGCCAGCTAACCAATCAGAGCAGAAATGGACTCTGGTTTCAGACAGAGGGTGAAAAGAGGTGCTGCAGCACAGGCCGTATGAGAAAAATAAAGAGCTTTTTGAACATCAAAGCATGGAGACATGTCCCAGTAGAGACACTACATACTAATATGAACATGGAAATGAACATATATATCCTCTTTAAAATGTAATATTTGCAGGTTATGAAAATAGGAATCAACTTCAATACTGTGTGTCATACATCTGCTAGTACCCTCCTTTTAGATCAGAGGATGCCTTCCTTTTTACTTGCAAAACATTCAGAAATTAACATTACATATTAACAGTATGTGAGGATGTTAAAGTGCTATCTTCTGAAACTAGCATACTTACTGACTACAAATACATGATGTCAACAATAAAAGCATCACAACCTCTTCTTTGACACAAACCCAGATATCTTTATTTTCACAGTTTGTTCTGAATCTAAGATTATTTATTAAAACATTCATAGCATTATTAAAAAAACGATTAAGGCTGTTAAAAAAAAGACAACTGCAGCCTCAAATGAAAGCAAAGCATTTTATTAGATGATGAATCCAATATTGAAATACAAAAAGGCACTGAATTATTTTTCTCTCACAACAACGCAAACAGTGATGTGTGAATTAATACAGATCTTGTGGTATGTAATGGATGAAAGACCAAACCATAAACCAGACAAAACATCACACAGTTTGCAGTCTTTCTTCAGGAATGCTAACAGGTGATCAATCCAAGCTGATGTTTTAGAACAGTATATGAAAATAACACGTGTGCATGTTTTTTTAATATAAGGAATTCAATAGAACATATACATCAGCACGAAAAATAATTTAGAGCTTGGTGGTCGTCTTTGAAAGGTACAAGTAGACAACGAGAGATGAAATTATTTCAAGGTGAGATTGAAGCAAAGAATGTATTACAATTATAATATCTGCATACTGGTGATGATTATAGGGTGGTTCTCTTTAAAGATGTTCGAGAATAAAATGACAATCAGATTCACTACAAACCTCAATACAGTGTTTGAGATGTTTTCTTATAATTCATATTTTCCACACCGACTGATTTCCATACTGTTAATCTACATGATAACATAAGCAGCTCTGTCTCTTAGCATTGAAAGCAAATGAATAGGCTCAGCCCATTACAGTATCTACTTTGACTCCATTTCATCAGCAAAATGCTCCTTTTTTAAAAAGTCAGTAATGATTTGGTTTCTTTGGAAAAACGATCTTGAAAGGCAGTGAGCGAAGAAGAATTTGAAGCCGCTTCATAAACATGTATATTATAGGAAACAGAAATCTGATGCAGAGTGAAATCAATTTATATTTTCTCCATATTCTTAATTATAAAAGAAATTAAATTAGCTGTTTACAAGCAGGAAGAAAGCTCTACTCTATGGATGTGACGTTTATGTAGAAATAGTTTTTATGTGATACCAAATACCAACATTTCAACAAATGTTCCGAGTTTGGTTCCAGAGAAAAGTTAAAAGGCACATGTTTTAAGACATTGTACTATAATCTCAATTAATGGGGATTGTTTAATAAACCTCAGATTTGAATGAATATTTACAGTCATTTCCCCCAAATCTAAGGCGCGTCAGATTACAATTAAGTGCGTGATTGATCTGTTCCTTATTAACTTTGCCGCACACTTAAGAGATGGTTCGCCAAAAATGGTTTCAACAGCAAAGAGAATTCCTTTAAGACAGAAAAACGTACTTCATTATTTATATTACAGGATCAGGGTCCACTAGTGTGGAGAGACAGAAGCGTACTGCGCCCACAAGAAGACATGTGATCAGCATGCCAGCACACACACACACATGCACACACATGCACACACACACATACACACACGGGCGCACACACGCTTATATTACACTGAAGAGCATTGCCAAAAAAGTGCACACAAAATATACAAAGCCAGGACAAACTAAATAGCTATCAGTCAACTTCATTCATGCTTTCCACCCCAGAATGCACTTGGTGTGTTGCTTCCCCCTTCCATGTGAGACATGGGGAGTAACATGTGCATCGATAGTGGGAGTGAAAGGAGGGAGGCTAATCATGTAGCCTCACCTAGCTCAAGGTCTGTACGTTATAAAGTGAGATTAAAATCTGCCGCCTCCAATAACTTCCAGGAAGTTCTCAGTGAACCTCAGCTTCCTGATACATTCTGCTTTGATCTAGTGAATGATCTGGACTTGATAACATAGAGACCTTGACCTGGGGCATGCAGCTCAGCTCAGCCTCTGTTCCCCTGGAAGGCTCCCTGTGCCGCGGTGCTGGCCGCGGTGCTGGCCGCTCCGGCAGCCGCCGTCTGGAAGGTCTTGTTGGTGAGGACGCCCTGCGAGAACTCATGCTGCGCCTTCGTGAAGCTGGCCCCGGTGCGGCGGTACATGCTGTGGACCTGAGGAGAGAAAGAAATCGTCAGGAATCATAATCAAAATCAGAATAACTTTATTCACCAGTCTCCTTTCCATCCCCAGAGTTCACAAATCATCCGTAGGTGGCAGAGCCTTTTCCTTCCGAGCAGCTCTACTTGGGAATCGTGTTCCATTTCAGATCCGAAGCGATTTCCGTTGACTCCTTTAAAACTGAAAACCCATCTCTTCGCATTTGTCTTCCTTGTAAACTCATTTCCATCACCTAGTTTCCATCTACATTACCCTCACTTCAGTCACATGCTTTTATCACATGGCAATACTTATGTAGTTGTAATGTTTTATAATTGTTATGCTATGACGTTTGTATTTTGTTTTTGCTTTTGTTTGCTTTGTACAGCCCTTTGAGGCATTTCTTGTGATTTGGGGCTATAATACATTTTGATTTGTTTTGATTTGATTTAATAAACACAGCTTAATATTACCCACGAAGCATGCATTAATAAATATGAAAGATAACAAATTTAGAAGAAAAATTACACAATTTAGAAAATACACATCCTGTAACAGTTCTGAGATATAGCATCCAGGTATATATTGCACAGTTTAGGGTTATGGTTGCAGCGGTATTCCAGTTTCACAGAATACCATGGTAGGAAAATGGACAGTTATCATATTGTGTATTTGCTTATCTATGGTATTTAAAAAATGGAAATAGTGTGGGAGTAAAAGGTTAGGACAGGACGGTCTGGCTGTGCTGCTTAAAACCTACACAATATGTTAATTCATATTACCAGTGTTTCGCAGCTGCCTAAATACAACATTTTAGGACTTTCAAGAACTTTCGAGGTCTAATTCCATCAAATTCAAGGACCCAATGCATAATCTTTTGACACACAGATCGAGGCTTATTGCCTTGCCTGTTGCTATCGGAGCGTCAGTTACTCTGCTGGCACGTTTTACTTTACTTATGATATTTATAAATATAAAGCAATATCAAAATATCTTTCCACAATTCCAAACTTTTCTGTATTATATTGTTAAATTGCAATGTTAAGTACAGTAGTGACTTCTAAAAATAGACTTGAAACACTTTTCAAAATACTTGTTTTTAGTTTGAAAACGTTGTATTTCCAGATTTCAGGATCAAAAAATGTTGAAATAAATTGTATTTTCTTTTCCCAAACTTTTGGTTTTATCTCCTCAGTGGACTACCGTAGATCCCTTCCAGCCAACCCAGCAAACCAACATTTAAAAAACAAAGAAAAAAACAACTAAATCCACTTCACCCAAGTTAAAGAGGAGATTAGTCAAATGGAATAGCTGATAACACGCATTTAATGAATGGTATAAAAAGTCTCACCATCTTGAGCAGGATGACGGAGAGCACGGAGCAGATGGTGAAGAGGATCGCCACGATGATCATGATGGCTCCCACCGCCTTGTCGCTGCCGATAATAGTGAAGGCAGTGATCCAACCACTGCAGGACACACATACAATAAAGATGATCTCATTAACAACTTAAAGGTCCCCTATTATACTGTTTTTCATCAATATATTATAGGTCTCAGATATATACAAAACATGTCTCTGAAGTGTTTCGCTCCAAACACCAAACAGATCATTGCAGCATCCCATAATCCCCTCTGTTTCAGCCCTGTTTCAAAAGTGCTGATTCTCTGTCTGTTACTTTAGATGAAAATAAGGAGCCCCTCCCCACGCCCCTCTGAGAGATATTTGGTTAAAAAGAACACAATGGTGCTCTAGGAGGAGATTCAGGTGATAAGGTGGGGGGGGGGTTACCTTGGTTGGTGATTGGCTAATGGTTACACAAGCCAAAAAATCGTTATGACATCATAAAGTGGCTAAAATCTGATCAGCTCATTTTCAGACAGGTTTTTATAGAAATGGATCAGGACAAAAAGAGAGAGAATCTTTTTTCCTGAAACTTTCAGAGTCTCTTTACACAGAGGGGACACATGTTGATGTAGAGGAGACATGAACAAGTGGATTTTGCATAATAGGTGACCTATAAGGGATGGGCAATATATTGTGATTTTATTGATATGAGACTAATAGGTGGCCTTTAAATAAAACTGCAGGTCATCTTAATATTAGGGTACACAAAGCATGTATTCTGTAAATGGGTTACATTAAGAGAAAGGAAGAAAGAAGGGAAGTGAAAGAAAGGCTGAGAAGATACAAGAAGAAGCAGCTAAGAGAAGGTTGTCAATCATAAAAGCGGGTTAAAAAACACTCAATGATGAACAGAGTAGATCAGTATTATTACAAAATGAATAAATACATCTTAAATATTAAATAAACACATTTTAAAGTGTGTGTTCATATTAACATCCTAAAAGTGCCTTTGTTGTTTTCAGAATACGTTGTTGAAAGTGTGCTTTCTGCATCTCATCTACAAAACAAGTGCGGGTCCTCTTGACTGTGTCTGTTTTGATATTATGCAAAGCCATGATGAAATGAGAAGTATCATTACAAAATGAAAAAAGAGGGAAATGAAGAGCCACTTGGATAAGGGGCATTCAGTAAAGTGCCGTTTTAAAATCAAAGGGTTTTTATCCGCCTCAACCTCTGCATAATTAAAGTGGACCTATCATGCTATATTTGAATAATATAGTGTAGGACCATACCTAGAAAAGGCATATTTATACTTTTTTTTTTCAACATACCAAACAGATCATGCATTTTAGCCATGCCTCATTTTGCTCAATTTGACATTTTTTTAGCTCTGTTTTTGCAAGGGCTGATTCTGTGAGAACAGCACCATCTACAGGCCTGGCATATGTACTACAGCGTCTCCAGCGCTTTCGAACGGCAATGGCCGTGGCTGTCTCCTCCTGATTGGTGGAGTTGGCCCAATAGCCGTAGCGCCACTGTCCTGACGTCAGGACAGTGTTCAAATCTGGATCAGTTTTTATCAGATCCGTTGCAGCCCCTTTTTTAGAGATTTGGGTATGGAGGAAAATAGAGAGGGTTGTGTTTTCTGACACTTGGTGAGTTCCCTGGAACACCGGGGACACATATTCATGTATAAAAGACGTACAAAAGTGCATTTTGCATGATAGGTCCCCTTTAAATGAAACCTCACCAAACGAGTCTGACAGGTTAACATTACATATCAAAATCACTGTGCGCCTTAACATGTAAAAATACATACACAATATACATATATGAAGAATCCAATACATGGGCTCTGGTTTCAGACAGAGGGTGAAAAGAGGTGCTGCAGCACAGGCAGTATGAGAAAAATAAAGAGCTTTTTGAACATTAAAGCATGTCACAGAGACACATAATAAAAAATGAACCTGACACTGATGACATAATGTGCTTTTTAAAAAGGAAAATAACCGAGCTAATGACAGTATTAGAGAAAAAATACCAATATCTTTTCCATCGCAATCACAAACGTAAAAAAGTAAAACCGGTACACATCCCTTTACCACTTAACTTGTATTTTCCAAAACCAAAATACAAGTTTATGAAGACAAAGCCGGAAGAAAGGGTTGTCAGAAGGTGGCAGAGACAGAAAGCAGCAGAATCTTACAGAGGGGAAGCAGGCTACAGGCTGAAGGAGGAAAGGTCTCTGTCAGAAGAGACGAAAGGACGCAAGGAACCAAAGGACATGAGAGGTTCCTTTAAATCACTCAGTCATCTGTAGGTTCAAAATTTGTTTTGCTTTTAGTTACAATCGTTTTTTTCCTGAACCCACGTTTTCACGTTTCCTGGCAAAATATACAAATGAAATCAACGGGATTTGGAAATCAACGGGATTTGGAATTAGACATATTGTTTTTTTCACTTTCAATGTTCTGCCATCAGATTTCTTCTTAAATCTCTCAGAAATGTCAGCCCCATATACCTGAGCACATGAACCCTTGGATATGAAACATGTACCAACAGCGTGAGACTGACCTGTTGCCCCACTGGGGGATGCCTACAGTCTGGATGATGAAGACCACCACTTGGCAGAAAAACACAAAGAAGAAGAAGAAGAAGCTGAAGGAGCTGTCAGTCCTGAAACAAGAGAAAAAAGCAGGTTACTTTAAATATTACACATCAGGAAAAAAAAGCATGTGTTGTGCGTCTCTGACCGAGTCTTATAACAACTAGTATACCATTATGAGGCGTTTGGTTAAAGGATGAGACTGAGTCTAAGAAGAGGAGCAATTTCTCTCAAGAGTCAGTTATTTTGCATATTGGGACAACCCAGGATGTGTTACTGTCCTCATAGTGACAAAATATAAGATGACTGTGTTATGATTGTTATCTATAGGGCTGCACGATATATCGTGTCGTGACGATAATCGTGATATGCGCATATACACATCGCAGGACGTGCAATTTTTTAATTTTTTAGGACGTGCGATATTAAGTAGGCAAATGAACTCAAACACGTGATGTTACAATTCTTTTGCTGCTTGCTAAAAAGGGAAAACTTGCGCGGCTCTCATGTCAGGGGTACTTGAGTGAGTGACATGCAGCAAACCACCAATAACAATCAAATCTCCAAAGCAAACGGACCCGGTGATCAAAGGTAAAAACACTGAATAAAGTAGTTTCATGTGTTTCTCCAAAGCAGTTTGGCGCTGCTAACCGAGCTAGCTCAGCTTGTTGCTCTGATAACTTAAGATCCAGACGTCCGTGACTAAAATCCTTCATCCGGTTAAATATACAGTAGTTAGAAAAATACCAATTGTATAGCATTAAAGTTCAAGAAAGGATGGTTTGCGGACAAAAAAAACGGTCTTTTCTCCATTCCTGTATTTTTTCATATCGCAATATATATCGCAGGGGAAAAAAATATATCGCAATGTCAGTTTTTTCCAATATCGTGCAGCCCTACTATTCAATACATTTGTTTGTGCTCAGTTTCACCCACTGCTGAGCACTTTTCACCTGTCAATTAAATTGTAAAATGGTTAAAAATAATATATTGCTTTCATTTCCTTAAAGTTATTAATACCTCGTAATTGAACAGTGCATCAACAATATGCAAACCAATGCTTATGTATTTAAAACAAAATAATGAACATTAACTGATTGTACCTGCCGAGTTACATTTAGCACTACCACTCATAAATAAGCTACCTATGTTGGTGAGTTTAGAACAAATCAATAACAACATTTGTCATTTTTTCCTTTAAGTTACATCTGCTTTGGCCCATTGTGCATTACTCAAATAACTGTGTTGCTCGTAATTAAATATGAATTATTTGCATGGAAACACAATGGCTTATAGTTACAAGGTTTTCTTCTCACAGTTACCTAGCATAAAGGTACTATTGAAGGAACAAACAAGGTAAGTATGATGTATTTTATAGATATTGTTTGACTGTGGTATTACAAACTGTTGGGAAAACACTGAATGTACTCTTCCAATATCAGAGTAGCACATGATAACAAAGGTATCCCCACTGTATCTGTGTACATGACAGGATGTATGATTACCTAGAAGAGCATCAGGACTGTTTTAGGCATATGATAGCTATGTGATTAACATGATGATTCAGCCTCTATGGAGATAGACATATGACAAGCATGATCATTTCTGACGTGGAGCTAATCTGAAGTAAACATTGAATACTGCTTTATATTCCTCCATCTTGTGATTGTGTAACTCCCTCTCTTGGATATCAGCATGTGAAGGACACTGTTCAGGAACTAGTTGATGCTCTGTATGTGATGACTACTTCCATTCTGGAGAGGATCACAAATACATGGATCCTGAGTTTGAAGCTCAAGCCGGGGACGAGTGAGATTTTTCTAACACAGAGATGTTTGAGGAGAGGAGGCTCACTTGAAGGCCTTGTAGACGGGCCGGTACCAGCAGATGAAGGAGCAGGGAGCGAAGAGGATGAGCCAGAGGATGGAGAGGCCGAAGTCAATTCCACGCGAATTATTCGTGGTGAAATACGCCAAACACGCCAGCAGGTTGAGGAACAGAGTCACACAGTTGACTGAGGAAGCAGCAGAGAGACACAAAGATAGTTAAAGATCAATAACTACTGCACACATTTTATTTCATTTGTATTTGTTCCGTTCATGGTATTCAGACTATATAACCAGCACGGCCACTAGTAGACCCCCACACACACACAACAACACAGACTATAACACCCCTTGCTGTTAAATACCAACCAACTATGTGCTATATGTGCAATATATATATAGATATGCCGTTAATAACTGTGCAGTATATACCTGGCTGCTAAATCCTCAGAACTGTTACAGGATGTGTATTTTGTTATTCACAGCCAATCATAACAGTATCATAGGAAAATAAGAGAAACACAAAAACAGCATACACCTATCATTGTTTATCATCAAAAGATAGTCTTTTATATTTGTCTTGGAAAATATGACATACAACGTGAAAGAACAATATATAAATATATATATTGTAGTAATAATGATATCATCTATTTATAATTGTAAATGTATATTGTATGTAGACACATTTAGATGTACATTTAGTTAAAAGAAGAAAGATATACATGTTAATAATGTAGTTTTTGGGAGAAGGGGTGGTATTAAATGAGTGTAAACTTCTTCCCACCCCTTTTCGGATGTGTAACTAGGTAGATCATTTGTTTATATATCATTTGTAAGTCAATCATATTTTTGTTTATCAATTTGATACTGCTTAAGTTTGTACAGCATCATTACTGTTATATTTGACTATATTTTTTATTATTATTAATATTTTTCTAGTTCTCTACCTGTGTTTTAAATGTTTGTTTTACTTATGTATGCACCACGACACCAAGTCAAATTCCTCGTACGTGTAAACCTACCTGGTAATAAAACTGTTTCTGATTCTGATTTGTTTGTATTATTGTTTTACACGTTCGAAATAAATCAAATCAAAAAATCATTGAATGCACTCACACATCCAGAGGTAGTACATCATCTTGCAGACTCTCTGGTACTCGGGGGGGATTTCCTCTGAGAAGTCCTGATAGAAACATGCCTTGATGGGGAAGCTCTTAGGAAGTGGAGGCCAGTTGTTCTGTTTACCTGTCGAGACAAGAGACAACATATTTACTGTGAGAGAGGAAGAGCTGGCTTCCAAAAGCAGGACGATTTCGCATGCCGCAGGTTTGATATAATTAACTATAAAGCAGCCACAGCAACAGTCAGATGAGATATCCACCCAGAATTCCAGCTCCTACCTTCTGGTAGAAGATTCAGGGTTCCCAGGAGCAGGCTGAACCGCTATAAGCACTCATTCCTACCTATGTCGATTAAGCTTCTTAACATTCACATGAAATGATATGTAGTCAAATGTAATGAAATGTACTTTTTAAATGTTGGCCATGAGGGTTGTGCAATAGGTCGCCATTGTCAGTATGTGCGTGTGTATTGTGTTTGTTCAAACGGTGTATGACTGATGATATGTGTATGTCTCTTAATGTCCACTATGTTTGTATATGTACATGTATGTACTGCAGGACGGAGTCCAGAACAAATTTCCTTACGGGGACAATAAAGTATATCGTATCGTATCGTATCGTATCGTAATGAGGTTTATTTAAGAGTTTAAGAACAGCAAGTTTGTGTATATATTCACAGCTGTGGCTCTGGAATAACGATACGCATCTGCTGATGAGGGAATTTGCATAATAGCCGCGTTCACACCGGAGTACTTTTCGCGTTTAGTTCCGTTAGTACCCCTTATGTCGCGTTCACACCAAAAAGAGCACTTAGTGCCGGGAACTTTTACCCCCATTTTTAGTGCCTGCTGAGAGGTGGTACTTTCCTGGGGGGAAAAAGTGCCCCAGTTCTGATTGGCTGGGCGAATTGCAAACCACGCCCCGTAAAACTCTGAAATGAAATGTTTTGTAGAGCCGCCATTTTATTATCCTCGCATTAGCATTATTAGAATTAGCATTAGCCCAGCGCACAAACACAGAGAGACTAACTTATGGCAACACAAAATAAAACATGGGAGCGGTGGAGATGAGGAGGTGTCGGCGTTCTGGCGATTTACTCGGAAGGCTTCAGTAGAAGCTGCTGGGAGTCCCAGCAGCTTCTACTGAAGCCAGTCCCCAACTCCGGGGACTTCCGGCCGGGGACTATCTGTACTAAGTGCCCTGGGGTAATAAGTGCCGGGGCACTAAGTACGGCAAAGTACTTGGTGTGAACTCCTCCATCCAGTGAAGCAAAGTTAACTCATGCCTAAGAGGAAGTATATTCAAAATTGTCAGAGTGAATCTGTCAAAGCTCAATATCACCAAGCTTAAGATGCGCATCTTACTAGCTGGCCTAACAGCTGCAAAAAAAGATGGTTGCGGTTCGATGGAAGCCTCCTAATTCCCTCACCTTCAGACACTGGGTCCTTGCATCTCTGGATGTTGTTTATCTAGAGTTGTCAACTGCCCGAATAAATAGGACAAATGACACTAATGTAAACAATTGGCGCTCTGCAGTCGATTCCTTCAAAGATCTTTTAGAATGATTTCTCCCTTTCCATAATCCACAGCCTTTTCAATTGCGACCTTTGCGTTTCTCTGTGTGTGTGTGTATGTGTTAGTGATGGTATACACTCCTGTCTGATAGCACTGATGGAGTGCTGGCACCCAACAGCGAATACCCTGTGTGTGTGTGTGTGTGTGTGTGTGTGTGTGTGTGTGTGTGTGTGTGTGTGTGTGTGTGTGTGTGTGTGTGTGTGTGTGTGTGTGTGTGTGTGTGTGTGTGTGTGTGTATATATCTTTGTCTGTGTGTGTTTATATGTCTGGGAGGGAGGGTAGGGTTTGTTTTATTTTCGTTGTCTTGTTATTATTTTTAGCTTACATGTGTTTTCTGTATTCTGCATTTTGTATATTTTGTAAGTAATTACTTTTATCTCATTTTGTTTCTCTTGTGTACCTTCAGTTATTTCATTTTTTTTTTAAAAGGAAAAAATGTTGTGCTTGTAGTTGTACATGTTGTGTATTAACATCAATAAAGATTTGATCACTTTTGTCAGAGTGAGCAGGTTTTAAAGGGGACCTATTTTGCGCATTTTCAGGTTCATATCAGTATGTAGTGTCTCTCCTGTGACATGTCTCCATGCTTTAATGTTCACAAAGCTCTTTATTTGTCTCATACTGCCTGTGCTGCAGCACCTCTTTTCACCCTCTGATTGAAACCAGAGCCCAGTCTACTCTGATTGCTTAGCTGGCCGGCTTTGTTGTGATTGGTCAACCGCTTAGAGATGTCCCGCCCCTTAGCCTATCACGTACAGTGTGTCGGAGCGCTTGCCAATAGAAGCGTGAGTGTTACATAGTGATGACACCATGTTACGGAAGTAAACAAAGGAGTCCAATGGAGGCGTTTCAGAGTATGTGGGAGAGAAACTCCCTCTGGAGGGAACTTTGGGATTTTAGCATTTGCAGACCATTTACATGCACTAAAACCTATATAACACACTACAGCTAAAAAACTGCAGCTTTACCAGAGAATGCAGATTAACTGAAATAACTTTCCTTAGAGCAAGATAATGCAATCTCCTTCTGCTGCATTTTCTGCCACGAATATCTGTTATGTGCATTTCAGAGCATTTTTCATACCGTAGTGTACAGTATGCACAAATGTTTTCAATTCCTCTCCCTGATACATAATGCAGACGCAGCACAGTGAGTGGTGCTGCAGCTGGTCGTACCGCAGAGTGTCTGTCTGCACTGACCTGTGGGGCCCCGGCTCTGCAGCTCCTGCTCTCTGCGGTCCAGCTCCGCAGCTTTCCTCTCCAGCTCCTCCTGCTGCCTCAGCAGATTGGCCTGAGCTGCAGCAGCCGTCGCCTGAGGAGGAGGAAGGAGAAGAAGAGTCAGAAACACATTGCTCGCCAAAAAAACGGGATTGTAACGGAATTTATCTTGCTGACATTGCTGTACATATGTATAAATGTGTCTGTTGATTGTGTAGGATATACATATTTTTATACATATTTTTATTTTTGTATTCGGGATTGTGGGAAACGGTATTTCAATCTCTCTTTCCGTACACACAAACTGAAAGATTGACAATAAAGTTGACTTTGACTTACACATTACATAGAAAGTAGTAAGAGGACATTGCACACATTGCTAGGAAACAATGCAAAACGACTCATTACATATATCATTATATCTTAAATACAACGTCCAAGAAAGGGCTGAACCATAGTGAATTGATTTCAGAAGCTGTTGCCATTCTTAGCGTTACAAATGTTTCACAAAGGCATATTGTATCCATTTTAAAAATGCAAAGATACTATTATAAATATTTATGACCCCTTGTATCTGATGTTTGACTGAGCAGGATAAGGAAGGTCACAGGTAATCTATAGTCACATTCATGAGTATCAGTTGAACCTTGCTCGTTATAAGATTGTGTAAATGAAAATATTCTCTACTTTAGTCTAACAAGTTCCCTATTGTTTTGTACTGCCTTTATTTTGTAGAAACAGCTGAACCAACAGTGTGATCAATAACAGAGCTGCATTACATATGACACACACAATAGGAACAGGACCTAGGGAAGTACTGTGCTTTA